TCTACAAGTGTTTTGATTGACTTACAGTAAAAGACATCTATTTACTAAGAAAGAAAAAAAAAAGCAGAAAGACAGAATAGAGGGAGAACATATTCAAGACAAATGTAGTTACCAAATTTTGAACATTAAATTAATCTGTCCTTTAGATGGGCCATCTTTTCTTGTTTCTTTGCATGTCTCATGGTTTCTTTGTTGTAAACTGGACATTTTGAATATTGTGATGTGGAAACTCTGGAAATCAGATTCTTCTCACTTCTCCATTGTGTTTGTTCCGGCTGTTGTGGGTTGTGTGCTTAGTGACTTTTCTAAGCTACATTCCGAAGCTCTGTGTTCCTGTCATGTGTGGCCTTTGAAGTCTGTGTTCTGTTAGTTTGGTGGTGAATGGTGTTTTGATGGATTTACCTTAAGTGCCTGGAACCAAGGAAAGGAGAAAAGACGAAAAAAAGAAAATACTCTCTTCATCTTTTCAGACTTGTTCTGTGTTCCGGATATTCCTTCAGCTCTTAGGCTGTTTAAACTCGGCCTTAGCTTTTACTTTCTACTTGTGTAGAGCCTAAAGCCTGCTACAGGTGAAAGCTTAGGGTCTTTTGAAGACGTTTTTGGACTGTGCAACCTGCTTTGAGCATGCATGTGGCTTTCTCAATTCCCTGGTATACAAGACAGCTTTTAAAAGACCTCTTACATATATTTCCTTTCCCCACTTCTCCCTTCCCAGGCTTCCAGGTGTGTCTATTGCTTGTCCCAAGTATCATCCCTGGTCCCAGGCTGATGTAGCTAATACCTGTGCCTTTAAACACTCAACAAAAGTTTTCCAGCCCTGGAGATGTTCTGAGTTGGGTGAAACAAAGGGAACTCTTTGCATATGTCCTCAGGGAGCTGTCAGATATTTGAGACCCACAAAGACAGTCTTTGAAAACAAGGTCCCTGCTGCTCCCTGTGGGAATAGCAGTCCTCATATCCAGTGCATGCTGTTGTCCTCAAGACTGTTGTCAACCTGGGGTGTGGGCGGTTCGAGGTGGAACAATGCTTTTTACCAAAACAGTAGTTGCTTCTTCACCAAGTCTTTCCATGGTGGTTATATGTTTTTGACTTGATTCCAGAGTTCAGAAGTTCAATCTGATAGTTTTTACCAGCTCATTAGTTTTATAAGGAAAAGAACAGAACCCTGGGGTTGGCCTGTCTGCCACTTTTTGGTGATGTCACTCCCACAATTCTTTTTCAAAGGAAGATGTTGTAAAGTAATTTCACTTTAATTAGAAACTGGTAGTGGAAATATATTTCAGACTGATTTGAACAATTGTATGTGGTATATTTATTGTCTTAGTCAATAATACAAATCTCTTGAATTTTACCTGTGAAACCTTACATATTGGGTTGTCGGAAAAGTCATGACGCATTTTTGCAATGAAAAACATAGAAAAAAATATGTCATGACTTTTCCACCAACCCAATATTTTCCATGTATTGATAGAAAAAAATGTAAGGCCATTGAGGTGTATAAACAGGAATGAGAAAACATCTTCTTTGGCTTTGTGATCATCTTTGGAACATTAAATAAGTTTTATGGCAATAAAAGCAATTCATTGCTGAAGGAGAAAAGTAGAGTAGAAAGCCTGGCTTACAGCTTGGCTACTGACCATGGTTTAGGGAAGCCTTCCACCAGCCTGCTTTCCTCTATCCTGTCCGCCCATCCTGCCATCTTCCCAGTCCATGGTAAATATTGAATAATTTACTGGGCTTGATAGTGTGTTAGTGGTGTAGAAATAGTGGATAGTTAGATAGAAATGGTCCTTAACCCTACAAAGCTTATTGTAATGTGGGACCTAGAGAGAAATCTGTAAACATTTATGATATCATGTAGTGATAGCTGCAGTGTGCATGGGTCGTAATGTGAGTTCAGAGAAAAAGGTCATCTTTGTGGTTACTGGGAAGGCTTTCTGGGTTAAGTGATATCTAAACTGATAATTGGAGGTTTAATGGAAGTTAATAAATTTAAGAGTTGGGAGAGAACCCTATGCCACGTATTGCTAGTACATATCTGAAGAATTTTAGATGAAGTGCGAGATGGCATTACAGAAATGCTCCTTATGATGGTAGATGGGGAATGGGAAATAGAGGAAGCTGGATCTAGGGTATAAAATTGGAACTTTAGAAGCAATGTTATCTGGTTTAGAGTTTATCCAGCAGAGTAAGTTACAAAGAAATCCAACTGGTTAATAATTGTCGAGTTTGGTCTAATTAATGAACACCAAATTACCCCATATGATCCTAATATAAGGTTTCAAAATAGAGATATTTAAAAACTATTTAAAAAATAAACAAGATATTTAAATTGCTAATAATTATAAACCTTAATACTTTCAAAAGACATTATATTTCAAAGTCATCATTTTATATCCAAATTTTTGTACAGTAATTAAAAAAATTACTTAAGTGTGGTTGGTATACAATATTAATTTTAGGTGTACAACATAGTGATTCAATTTATATACCCTATGATGTGATCAGTAAGATATGTCTAGTAACCATCTGTCACTGTGCAAATTTATTAGATATTATTGACTATTTTTCAGGATGCTTTATATTATATCCCTGTGGCTTATTTATTTTATAACTGGAAATTTGTACCTTTTATTCAACTTCATCTTTTTCACCCATTGTACCCCATCTCCCTTCCCTCTGGAAACTATTGGTTTGTTCTCCATATATATGCGTCTGTTTTTGTTCTGTTTGTTCATTTGTTTTGTTTTTATATAGATTCCACATATAAGTAAAGTTATATGGTATTTGTCTTTGTCTGATTTGTTTCACTTAGCATAATACCCTTTAGGGCCATCCATGTTGTTACAAATAACAAGATTTCATTCTTTTTATTGCTAAGTAATGTTTAAGTGTGTGTTTGTGTGTGTGTGTGTGTGTACCATATATTTTTTATTCTAGCTAATCTTAGATACTAGATACTAGCTAACCTTAACTAAATGGTAAGTATATGCCTAACTGTGTTCCTAAGTGCTTATAACCAGTTACTTTATTTAATCCTTATAAAAACCCAATTACTTTTATTCCCATGTTGTTGATGAAATAACTGAGGCTTAGAGAAGTGGTGTCATTAAGTCACACCACAAGTGAGTGGTGCAGCTGGAAACTGAATCCAGGAAGTCTGAATTCAGAGTCAACTGCTCTTATAGCTGTTATTGTTAATAAACCAGAAATAAGACGAGTTGAAGTTGTTTCGTAAATAGAAGTAAAAACCAGCCTTTAACCAGAGACAGTATCTCGGTCTGTGAAAAAGGTCAGATGATATCATGAGGGCTAGTTTCTTATAAAATTGAATTTTGTAGGTGTTACAGAGAAAAATGTGTATAGAGTATAATATTTTGGAATTTGAGAATGTTTTGTTTTAAAATTCTTAAATTTTAGAAGACTTTAAAAGCATTCTTAAGTGAGATTTTATTGCTTGTATATACTTGTGTAGACTTACTGGGTTTTGATCCTGGATCCTCTACCTACTAGTTTTGTGCTCTTTTGCAACTTAAACTTTCTTTGCCTGTGATTCCTTATCTGTAAAATGAAGATAATAGTAGCTTTTTTCTCATGAATTGTAGTCAGAATTAAATTATAAAATATGTGTACAGCAATTAGAATAGCACTAAATGGCATGTACGGTTGGGTGGTACTGTTGTTATTACTATTATTTATCCCATTTATATCATACCACATGGTCATTCATCCATATTAATGAACACCTTTCATTGATGGAAAATTAATTCTATGTTTTGAATTTAATTTCTAGTCCCTATCTGTCCATAATCTTACTTTTCCTTTGTTTCTTCTTTGCCAATTTCTCACTCTTTATATCTTCTTTTATGCTTTACGTACTTGTAAGCCAACTTCAACCTTTTTCGGGATACAGTATACATACTGTATACATTTATACATCTTTATTCTTGGAATTTAGCACTATTAGTGCATAAGTTGTTTTTTTTGGGGGGATCCATGGATATGTCCCTAGTTCCTCGAACAGTAAGTCCTAGTCTTTAATAAATTAAATATTTGTTGAATGAATGAATAACTTTAAAATTATCAGGCGTTTTGTATATGGCTATTATTGTCTTCCAAAATTTTCCATTCTCTAGACCAAAAAGACTTCTGGTTTGTCAATGTTCTTTAAGAATGGTACTTATGGGGCCGGATGAGTGGCTCAGTTGGTTATGAGCTCGCTCAAGTGTGTGAGCTCTGAGCAACAGCGGTTCGACTCCCGGCCTGAGCTGAGCTGCTGCTGAGCTGCCAACAGGTGGCAGGATGGCTGAGCTAAAAAAAAAAAAAAAAAGAATGGTACTTATAACTGAATATAATAAATAATTCATGCACTATTGATCAGCAGAGACTAAGAGTGTCATTGTGGTATGGCTTTTATTCTGTGTGTATTTGTCTATCACTATACTTAAAGTAGCATGTGGTAGGGACACTAATACTTTTGACTAATGTGGCATAATGCCACAAGTCAAACATGTTGCTGTTAAATCACCTTTCTTTATCATTTCACAGTTCTTTAAAAAGTATTACAAGATATTAGGTATTTCTCTTTTAAACTTTTTCTTAAATATTGATTTTATTATCTCAACATTTACATATTATCACGTAAAATTTATCATCAGTGAACTCTGCATCTTCTAGTGTTTATCACTTTTAAGAGCCAACTCCTTTTTATAGGAATTTGACCTGAATCCCACCTGGTAGTCATATGCTGTTTTGCTTTGTTCTAGATTTGAAATCACCTTTTCCATTAAAAAACAACACGTTTTTCTGTGCTCATTTGAAGTCTTCATTTATTTGTAGCTTATGCATTTTTATCAAAATTAGTTTTCGACTAGAAGACTTGAAATTTTTTAGAGTAGCTATACTTTCTTGCTATTGAATATTTGGTATTATTTTATTTTGTTGTTATAAATAACCTCCCGCCATATCATTACATATTGTTCCTTTCTGTTTATTTTCAGCTGGTTGGTGGAGAATTTGACTTGGAGATGAACTTTATTATCCAGGATGCTGAGAGTATAACATGCATGACTGAGCTTTTGGAGCACTGTGATGTAACATGTCAAGCAGAAATATGGAGCATGTTTACAGCCATTCTACGAAAAAGTGTTCGGAATTTACAGACTAGCACAGAAGTTGGGCTAATTGAACAAGTATTGCTGAAAATGAGTGCTGTAGATGACATGATAGCAGGTATGAGGTTACCTGACAGGAAAGTATAATTTAGTGTTTATAAAGATTCATGTACTTCTTTTTATATTCTATTACTAATATAAATTTGTTGAAGCTACCTTGATTTAAAATAGACAAATGGAAATGGATGGAAAATTTGCCTTTTATATTAAGAGAAAACCTGGCAAATAGAAGGTAATTTGTTCTGTATTAGACAATTACTAATTTTGCTTTCTCAGGTTTTAGAAAAAAATCTCAATAATGTGGAATAAGTGCTATGAAATCTTTCAGAAAAATAAACAATACCTTTCTGTGTAGTATCTAATTAAACCTTCACATGATTAAAATATCATAATACATATTATATTTCTGTGTAATGGGCACTTTATCAAATTCTCAGAGCTCTATCCATGCTCTTTAATTTGGCATATATGGAACTATGACAGGAGGAACTAAAAAGTTTTAGGATAATTAAGCATGTATTTTTTTGGAAGTGTCCATTGTACTTTGAATTTTTTTTGGAGAAACTTTTGTATGAAAATAAACACAGATATATTATGGAACAGAACATAAAATTTGCATGAAATTTAAAGATAAAATTATTAAATTTTGTGCTTGTTATGTGTTATTTCAAATAATAACTTTGAAATCTATGGTTCTTTCCACCAGTCCTTTACCTTCCTTGAAGTTCATTTCCCTCTGGGCTTAGATATACTTCAGTAGAAATGTTTTGAAAGATGGTCCTAGAGCAACAGTCATTCCCAGAAAATAACATTTAGAGTTCAAAATGTAGATTCTCTTAAACTATCAATCTTCAGCATAAGTTTCTTCTGACATAAAAGGGTTTTATATGACTTCTTACAGTATCATGTCTAAACCTTAAATGTAGTTTAGACACTAGAGAATCCACTATGATATTTTGATTTATGCTTTAATATTAGTAGAACAAAATATTAATGAAGAATGGAGTGAGGAACAGGTTAAAGATCAATGCTTTTTAAATTTAAACAATATTTAAAAATTTTAGTTTTTCTTATAGAGTATATTAAAAATAATTTCCAATTGCTTTCATAGTGGCATCTATCTCTATTGAGAATGGTTTAGCATTGTCTATATTGGTTACTAATGGTTCACTTGAAGAAAAATGAGAATCAAACTTAAAACATCTTTTTAATATAAATGTACCATTTCTGTAAATTCTAGCATTGTTTAACAGGAATTTATTTGTATAAGCATATATGCACACATATTTTATAGAAGATCATGTGATCTCTGAATCCTTTATCTGGGTTTAAACCCTTAAATTTTTTTTTGTAACTAATAAAATGGCCACAACGTTTTAGAGTGCATTTTACAAAATGAGATGCAAGTACCATGCATTGTAGATAGACAGGTACATAATTCATGAGCATTGAGATGTAAGGTGATAGTAAATGTGATAGTACCATGGAAGTTCATGTCTTCACATTTTCTATTATACAAAGCTTCTTAATTCTCTTATCCTTCATTCTCAGTAATACTGATAACAAAACTTTTATATATTGTTATTTTAAGCATTGAAAGTACCTCCACCTTACTTCTCAGTAGGAAAATTAAAATTTAGATGACATACTAATGAAGCACCAGTAACCACCAAAACACTAAATTTTCACTGTGAATGTTTTGTAGTATGTTAATTTCAAAGGGTACCTTTCATTTAATAATGTGAAAATAACACTAGAAGGTGGTTAAACTTAATATCCATAGGAAATTGATATGAGAATTTCATAGAGATAGTATATTTTTCCTTTAAAAATCTTGTTCAGAAAAGACCTGTTATAAAATTTAATAGAGCTGCTCAGTTATGTTACATGCACAATAAATAAGAAATTTTAATAATTATGCCATTAAATACAAATTTAATAGATCACTTTTTTGTGATATACATGAGATGAGATAAAGGTTTGGAAATAGATGTTAAATTTTTAAGAAAAGTATTTGTAGGTGAACCTTTAAGATACCTTCTATGAAGATTGCCGTTGAAGCTAATTGCTTAAAAATGCTTCATGTTAACTTAGGGTTTTAAGATGTTTGATTTTTATCTAGAATTCTCTTTTAGAAATAGATCTTCTGACTAATATGTAGTAACTGAACGTTTTTGTTACTTTAATGATTAAGCATTTTATTTCATTAAAAGATCTTCCTCAAAAATTACATATCCACAGTCACAATTTTATTATAGAGATTGTTTACTTATTGTGACATTAAGTGAGAATCAATTATTTATTCATGAAAATAACCATATTAAATTTCTATTTTGAAATATGTAGTATTTTTAAAGGCTCAAATTCCAGCTATTAATCTATGATATTGGATAATATATATTACATGTCAATAATTAATTCTTTCAAATTATCATAACCTCATTTTTTATTAATTGATGATAAATTGTTTAGACTGTATATGTGCATTGATTGTAATAACTTGTGTAGTAGCTTTAATTCTTAGGAAGTACTTCAGAAATCAAAAGAAATGAAATAAAAATATTTAGATGTTTAATTTCTTGCAAAAAACAATTGATAGAGGTATGACTCACAATGTCTAGAGATGAGAAAGTAATTAGGGATATGAGAGTAAATGTATATATTTTTTATTATTTGGTGAGTTGGTGTGTCTGTTATATGCACATAAACACATTAACACAATGGGTATCATTAGTGATGCATTTAAATGATACTTCCATTTAGAGACTAGTGGGTGTGAGTGAGGGCTGTGGAGCCATACTGCCTATGTTCATATCCTAACTTCACCACTTACTAGACTGTGTTCTTGGGCAATGTAAGTAAGTAATGTAAGACTCACTTTCCTAATTTTTAGAAGGGCATAATAGTGCTTACCTCATAAGCTTGTTACAAGGATTTGTGATGTTAATACATGTTAACCACTTGGAATCATGCCAGGCAATGAGTAAGTGCTCAGAATTATTAATATGCCAAGGAGTATTTCAAGAACATGTTCTAAAAGAAAATATGGTTATTAGTTTAAAATGTTCAGTCAATGTACCTTTGCATATTTTGCCTACCTTTTCCCTGCATACAGCAGGGTGTGTGTGTGTATTCTAGTAACGCATAAAAATCTATGTATTTGCTAAGAAAACTTAATGGAAGTGAAAATCTGTTGGGGGGAAAAAGCCCTAAAACTTTAATTTTTGTTTTATCTTGACTTAATTAATTAGAATGACTCTTCATGAGGATGGTTAGCTATATTAGATATACATATATATGTAAAATGACACTTGATAACTTCTGTTCTTTAAAAAAGTATATTACCTTGACAGATGGCAGCTCATGACTAGAGTTCAGAATAACTTTATTTTCCTTTGAAGATCTTCTAGTTGATATGTTGGGGGTTCTTGCCAGCTACAGCATCACTGTCAAGGAGTTGAAGCTTTTGTTCAGCATGCTTCGAGGAGAAAGTGGAATCTGGGTAAGCTGTGGTCAGAGGGAGAAGCATTCAATGTCAGTGCATTAATACTTAATGCTCAACAATTTGTCTCTAGAGAGCTATATAAACTTGAATTTGTAATGGAAATTGTTCCTCTTAAAGAGTTAAGCAAATGATTTGAAATTAATTTTCTCTCTAGTTAGAAAACAGTGCAGTGGCTAATGTGATATATTAGGTATTTTTGCTAAATCTGTACAATGACATTTCTTTTTCTTGTTTTCTCAGCCAAGACATGCAGTAAAATTATTATCAGTTCTTAATCAGATGCCACAAAGACATGGTCCTGATACTTTTTTCAATTTTCCTGGTTGTAGTGCTGCGGTAAGTTTAAAATACATGTGTTTATTTTTATTTATATATTTTTAAGTCAGCTCTAAGAAGGTATAATTTACATACAGTAAAATTCACCATTTAAAAAGTTTAGTTTGATGAGTTGGTGATAGTCTGGAAACCACTACCACAATCATGATTTAGAACAATTCCATCACTCCACCCAAATTCCCTTGTTGCTATTTGAAACCAAACTCCTCTCCCCAGCCTCTGTCCCTTGCAACCTCTGATTTATTTTGTGGCTGTTTCATTTTGCCTTTTCTAGAATTTCATATAAGTAAACCCACACAGTATGTAGCCTTTTTGTCAGGCTGCTTCTTTCACTTACCATAATGCTTTTGAGATTACCCATGTTGTGGCTTATCAGTAGCTTATTCTGTTCCTTTATATTTTGAATAGTATTACATTTTATGGGTATGCCGCAGTTTATCCATCGATTAGTTGATTGACAGTTGGGTTTTGAGTTTTTGGCTATTGTGAATAGTTTTTGGCAAATGTGAAGGGAACATTTGGACATAGGTCTTCTGTGGGGATGTTTTTTTATCTCTTGAGTAATAAATACGTAAGAAGGAGATTGCTGGGATTTATGGTACGTGAGTGTTTCTTTTCATGAGACAAAGGCAGATTGCTTTCCATAGTAGAAAATTTTGCGTTTCCATCCACAATGTATGAGAATCCTAATTGATCTGCATCCTGGCCGTTGTCCATCTTTTTAATTTGAGTCATTTAAATGGTTATGTCATTGTACCTCATGATAATATCAATTTTGTATCACTCTCATGACTGATGAAGTTGAGCATTTGTTTTCATGTGTTTATTGGCCATTCTTACATCTCCTTTTATAATGTTTGTGTTCAAGTCTTCTGTTCATTTAAAAAAAATTGTTTTTTTTGTCTTATTATCCTAAGAAATTGTATATTTGGGGTATAAGTTAATTTTTCAGATATATATTTGTCAAATGATTTCTCCCTATCTGTGGCGTGTTTTTATTTTCTGAACGATATTTTTTGAAGTATAAACGATTTTAATTTTGATGAAGTTCAATTAAAATCCTTCTTTTATGGCATGTGCTTTTGTAATCAAAGAAATCAGTATAAACCAAGATCACAACATTTTTTCACTTACTCTTTCTACTAAAAATTATGTTGTTTCAGCTCTTATATTTAGGTTTGTGATCTCTTTGTGTGAAATTTTTAAAATTATTTTTCAATTACAGTTGATATTCAGGATTATTTTATATTAGTTTCAGGTGGAAAACATAGTGGTTAGACATTTATATAATTTACGAAGTGATCCCCCAGTAAGTCTAGTACCCACCTGGCACTGTACGTAGTTATTAAAATATTTTTACTATATTCCCTATGCTGTGCTTTACATCCCCGTGACTGTTTTGTAACTGAATTTTTAAAATGTTGTGCAAGGGAAGGTTGGAGGTTAAGCTTTGATTATTTGTTTTGTATATAGATATTGAATTACTTCATAACCATTTGTTGAAGAGACAGGTTTTTTTTTTCACATTTGATTACCTTGCTGCCTTTCTCGAAAACTATCTGGCCATGTTTGTGTGGATCTATTTCTGAACTTTCTATTTGTACTTTTGTCCTGTATATCTATCCTTATGTCAATATCACAATAATAGCTGTAGAGTAGTTCTTGAAATCGGGTAGTATAAATACTCCAAATTTGTTCTTCATTTTAAAAATAATTTTGGCTATTCTAGATTGTTTGCATTTCCATGTACTTATGAATAGCTTGTCAAATTTATGAAAAGCCTGCTGTGATTTTTATTGTATTGTACTAAACTGTAGAACAGTTTGGAGATAATAGATCTTAACACTATTGAATCTTCCAGTTCGCACACACAGTATATACTCCCTTTATTTAGTTTCCTTTGATTTTTTTCACTGGTTCATAGTTTTCAGCATACAAATCTTAAAAATCTTTTGTTGATGCCGGTTGAGTGGCTCAGTTGGTTAAGAGCTCACTCAAGAGTGTGAGCTCTGAGCAACAGGGTCACTGGTTCAATTCCTGGCCCAAGATGAGCTGCCGCTGAGCTGCTAACAGGTGGCAGGATGGCTCAGCTAAAATAAATAAATAAATAAAAATAAAAAATATTTTGTTACATTTACCCACAGATATTCTATACGGCTTTTGGCTAGTATTTGTAAAGATAATAGATGTTTTTGTATATTATCCTTATATTCTGAGACTTTTAAATTTACTTACTAGTTATAGCAGTTTTTTTAGTAAATGCTTTAACACTGTTTACAAAGATAATAATTTTATCTGTGAATAAAGCTTACTTTATAATTAGTATGCTTTTTTACTGTACTGCCTAGGACCTCTAGTGCAGTGTTGAGTAACAGTAACATTTTTTACTTATTCTCAGTCTTAGAGAAAGCATTTCACCATTAAGTATGCTATTAGTTATAGGTATTAAGAAATCTCTTTTATCAGGTACAGGAAATTCCTTTCTATTCCTGTTTACTGGGAGTATTTTTAACCATTAGTATGTTGATATCAGTGTTGAATTTTGTCAAAAATATATTTTATGGAGAGAAGGAAGCAGGGATGGAACTAAAACTTTTACAACTGTTATTTCATTTGAGTCATACAAACTGTGTACAGTAATGGTTATTATCATTGTTAAGTCAGTTGAGGAAACTGAGCCTCAGTGATATAACATTGTTTAGGATCATAAAGCAGAGTCACAACCTGAACCAAAATTTGCCTGACCTTAAGTCCACTGTTTTATTAAACAGCAGATTGGCTAATTGTCAGCCATGTTACTTCTGCTATTGAACTGCTAAAAAATTCAGATAGGAGCTAATTTTAAAATCCATGCTTTTATAGTGTTTCTGATAATCTGCTTCTGGATCTTTGTATCAAGAGGGTACATACTGTTTGGATCACTGCTAAGAGAAGTGCCTTTAGATGACTGAGATTATGGCACTGATTACTTTCCCTCCAAAATAACCATGTGTACTAGGCCTTCAGAGTTGTATTTTGTACTGTGGAGATGCCTGTCTATGACCTATGCTGCCTCCACATGGGCAATTTGGTAACATTTACTCATTCATAGAGTAAATTACATTCTACAGTGATTTATATAAAGGTGAATGAAATGTAAGATAGAATTTTATATGCCCTCTGACTGTTATGGGTATATTATTTAGATTTGCCATTCATGACTATGATCTGTTTCATTAATCTGCTTAATTTAGGAAATAGTGTACTTTTCTAGTCACTGAAATAGTTTGCTGAAAGCACCCCATCTGAACATCAGAATAATTTTTTTTTGCCTAGTACCATAGATAAGAACATAGGTTCTAGAGTCAGCTAGAGCAGGAAACAGTGAGGGATATAGGTATGAGGTCCTATGGGCTCACTGGGCACAACGAGGAATACCCAATAGTGGGTACCAAAATATTGTAGAAGGAAATAGGACATGTGAAGGCAGTTGAAGTCCAAAATCACAAAGGTAGTTCAAAGGACATGCCATTAGCACCATGGGAATCAAAGGAAATATAAGGAATCTGAGAAATGGGTGGTAAGATCAGGCAAAAATGGTTTGCAAGTAAATTGTTCTGGGTTCCACATCAGGCAGTACTATCCAAAGTTAGCTTTCGTGCATTGATTAAGGCAGGATGTATGTATTAGTTTAAAAAGGGTTGAAAAGGGCTGGGGATGCAATATGCACTGCATAGAAGCTCTTTTTTTAATTGTAATTAATTTTCTTTTTATTTTAAAAATAATATAAGACTATTCTGAGACAATAGGAAAATACAGTAAAATGTTGAAGGACAAAGCATTAATAATCTATAATCTGTCATGTAGCAATAAATTCTGTTAATATTTAAGCAAACTTTATTTTAACTGCTTATTTTGAGGTAATTATATATACATAGGAGATTGCAAAGATATAGTACAGAGATGTGCCATATGCCTTTCACCTGGTTTCCCAGTGGTTGCATCTTAAATTATTATAGTACAATATCAAAACCAGAAAATTGACATGGGTATAATGTGTACATATAGTTCTGTGCCATTTTATCATAAGTGTAGAATGTCTAATCACTACTGCAATACAGATACAGAACTATACCATCATTACAAAATTCTCATTCTATATAATCACCCTTTATAATCACACTGACTCCTTCCTCACGATCCCCCAATGCTTAGCAACCAGTGATATGTTCTCCCTGTAATTTTGTCATTTTAAGAGTGTTGTGTAAGTTGAATCGTACAGTATGTGGCCTTTTAAAAGTGTCTTTTCCCCCCACTGAGCATAATACCCTTGAGATCCACCAAGTTGCCGTATGCGTCGATAGTTCATTGATTTTTATTGCTGAGTAGTAATCCATTGTATGGATGTACCAGTTTATTTAACAGTTTACCTGTTTAATGGCATTTTTGTCATTTCTAGTTTTTACCTATTACAAATAAAGCTGATAAGCACATTTATGTACAGGTTTTTGTGTGGATATGTTTTCATTTTTTTGGTATAAATATCCAGGGGTGCAATTGCTAGGTACTATGGTAAGTGTATGATTATTTTTAAGCAACTGCCAAAATATTTCCCAGAGTGGCTATATGATTTTACATTTTCATCTGCAATGTATGGGAGATCCAGTGTCTCTGCATTCTCGGCATTTGGTGTTGTCACTATTTTTTTCATTTTAGCCATTGTGAGAGGCACTTAGCGATATCTTATTGTGGTCTTAATTTGCATGTCCCTAGAGGCTAATGATGTTAAACATCTTTTCATGTGCTTTTTTTCATTCTTATATCCAGGAAAGGTCCCTTTATGCCTTTTGTCCATTTTCTAATTGGATTATTTGGTTTTATTTTATTTTATTTTATTTTTTGTTGAGAGTTCTTTACATATTCTAGATACAGGCCCTTTTGTCAGATATGTGGTTTGCACATATTTTCTCCTAGTTTGTTGCTTGTCTTTTCATCCTCTTTACAGGGTCATATATAGAACAAAAATTTTGATGTATCCCAATTTGTCAAAATATTATTCTTTTTTTTATGGATAGTAAGTACTTTTGGTGTCATGTCTAAGTCTTAGGTCCCCAAAAATTTCAACTGTTTTCTTTTAAAAGTTTTCTAATTTTACATTTAAATCTATAATCCATTTTGAGTTAAGTTTTGTATTAGGTATAATGTTTGGATTGAGGGTTTGTTTTGTTTTGTTTTGTTTTGCCTGTGGATATTCAAATGGTCCAGCAGCATTTGCTGAAAAAAATTCATATTTTCTTCACTGAATAGGTTGTACATCTTTGTAATGAAAAATCAGTTAGCCTTACTGTGTGAGTCTATGTCTGGTTTCCCAATCCTGTTCCATTGATCTATGTATCCATCTCTCTGCCAGTAATAAAAAGTTTTGATTACGATAGCTTGAAATCAAGTTGAGGAATTCCTCCCACATTTTCCCCCCAGAATTATTTTAGCTATTCTATTTCCTTTGCCTTTCCATCTAAATTTCAGAATAATTCTGTCTATATCTACAAAAAAGTGTTGCTAGGTTTTTGATAGGAATTGCTTGAATCTGTGTATCAATTTGGGGAGAAATCACATCATCTTTACTATGTTGAGCCCTCCAATTTATGAACATGATATATCTTTGTACTTATTACATTCTTAATTTCTTTCATCAGCATTTTATAATTTACAGCATGTGTCTTATACATGTTAGATTTATACTTATGTATTTCTTTTTCTCCCAGTGATTTGCTTTGATTTATTTATTTATTTATTAGTTTCAGGTATACAAAGCAATGTAATAGTTAGACATTTACACCCCTCATAAAGTAATAACACCCCCCCAAGTCAACTATCCCTCTGACATAGTATATAGCTGTTACAATACCATTGACTATATTCCCTATGCTGTACTTTATATCCTGTGACTATATGTCACATATATGTGTCTGTATATTTAATTATAGTTGACATTCAATATTATTCGACTTCAGCTTCAGGTATATAGTGCAGTGGTCAGGCATCGTATAGAAGCTTTGGTTGGTACATAAGAACAAGAGGTTGATGAGTACCCTCTAGAAATGAGAGATTTCAGGTCCCTAAAACATTTATTCTGGCTGTTATACATTAAATTTAAGAGAATGTCTCTGACTAAAGGTGCCTCTCTTGTTGAAGAGCTAGGCTATGATAGCGATCTTTATCCATGGGATTATTTATTGGAAGTCCACAATGAGACTGAGGAAAATGCTGTTCTGGAGCCTGTGATGCTTTGGTACCAATTGTACCAAAACCAAAGACTATTGTTATTTCATTATCATTCAAACTTAGATTTTTCTTTTATAACATTTTTCTTTTTTTCTGTTGTATTTTGGTTCACTAGTGTTTGCAACTGTATGTGATTTAGGACTCTCTCAGTCCTACTATGGGGAAAATAACAAATGATCTTTTGGACCACATATCTTTTCCTTGGTTGAAGAGTAGGTCTGGAAAACTTGAAGGGCAGCTTGTCTCAAATTCTTTACTGTATCTCTTAGATTAATTCAGTGTTTAAGTTCTAATGTAGGGCCCAGTAGACTGGGTGATGAGACCAATGATACAGAAAGTGGTAGGCCATTGTTTGGGGATAAGAGATTGCACAGGTATGTGGAGTAATGGGGGAAAGGGAAGCTATGGACTGTACTCCTAAATGCTTTTCAGTGCTCCAGTTAGAATGCTGTAATGAGCCCCTGTTGCTGATGTGAAAGTGTAGTTGGCTGTGCTGGTCTTCGCAAAGGTTGAAAATCCCGAATCTAACCTCATGCCAGTTGTATTCCCCAGGCATTAAGAACAACTTAACATATGTGTTAAGTAGTTTATACAATGTGGTAGATTCACTTTACTAATTCAGTGTCCTCAATAAATATTTCTCGTTTACCTTGGTACTCTCAAGCAGCTAGTCGTATGTGAATTCTGGTGTAGTGAAACTTACGGAGGTATTAATCAGAGGTAAACTTGGCAAGAATTGTATTTTACTAGCAAACAAATAAAAATAAATGAATTTTAAACCTTTCCCTTTTTAAAAAGTCAAGGAAAGCTTATTGACGATTAAACTGCTTGAACTAATTACTTTTAAAATCCTAAAGGATATTGTATGGGAAATTTTTATTCATTTTTGGGTTTGAATCTTTATTTGAATTTGTATATGTGTATCTGTGTGTATTTCAGTTTTGTTTCTATTTTTAAAATGAAAAGCACTTATAAACTTTGCCGCTTTGAAATGTTTCCATTGACAACATAGTGAATGTTTTCTATGTCTTATGTTACATGCTGGGAGTCTAAATTATATTCCTTATTCTTGAGGAACTCTAATGAGTAGACAGATACAAAAAGAGCTTGTTACAATAAACTAGTATAGATTTAGGTACTAAGTGCTACGGGAAGACAATGTAAAGAGAAACTAAGCTGGAGTGATGTCCAGGAAAGCTTTACAGATGTCCAGGAAAACTACATATTAGCCTGGTATTGAGGGATGATTGGGATTTAGCTGGAGGAAGTCTTATGGACAGAAGCAACATAATATACAAAACGGGAAGCTGTAAAAGAACAGGTGGGACAGCTGGCATATTTAGGTATAATTTAGAATGTGGAATAGATAGTAGAAGTTCATAAGATCAAAAGGGTTTGTTGGAGCCATAGGGTGTGTGAAGAGTCTTGTATAACCTGAAGAAATGTAAGCTTTATTTTATATGCAGAGGATTTTTAATATGGAAGCTATTTATATTTGAGAAAGGTCATTATCCTTTCAGCAATATGAAGGATCTGTTTGGGGGAACAGAACATTTATCAAATCATAATGGATAATTACCTTTTATGTCATGGAAATTTGGGTATCTCATAGGAATATAAATAAATCCACTTGGATGTTTGTTGACATCATGTCAAGCATTTAACCAGTTTCTCATTTTTTCCTTAGAATGGCTAGATTTTTTTTTTTATTGCTAGTATCAATTGAGTACTACATTATTTCTTTCCTACTTTATGAGTGGATCAAAATCTTTCTTGGTCATCAATTTCAGTGGTTAAATTTCTGTATAATAAATCTCATTCTTTCTCCTTTGTTTCAGTATTCTGAATATTATCTCTTAATATTTACATTTCTTCAATATTGATTCCATTAATATGGATCACACAATTGTTTTTGTATTTAAAGATTCAACCTCCTTTAATCAAATGAAATATTACTGAAAACCTAACATAAATCATAGAAAGCTGAAAATTCTGAGACATGTGTAAGGGATCGTATATTGGTAAAACTGGAGGAGGACTTCCTGGAGTACAGTCTGAAACATATGTAACCTAGATATGAAACTTCATTCATTGAGTAATTAAAAATAATATTAATAAATAGTTAATAAATAGCATTTATAGACTATTAGTAAGAATAGTTTCTATTTTTATTTGTCCATGATTTTCTGATATTTATGCCTTCAATGTTTAATCTGTTAAATCTGTATTTGACCTTAGTTACTATTGCGTTTTCTTTAACTGATACTTTTGTCTTTTTTTCATTGCCTTGTAGGCAATTGCATTGCCTCCTATTGCAAAGTGGCCTTATCAGAATGGCTTCACCCTAAACACTTGGTTTCGTATGGATCCATTAAATAACATTAATGTTGATAAGGATAAACCTTATCTTTATTGGTAAGTAATATGTTTAATTTTAGTACTTTGTCTTAAGTATTTCAATTTTGTAAATATATAAGTATCAAGGCAACATATTAAATGAAATATAACAATATATATGTTAAAGTATACATGTTAATATTATAAAGACACAGTTAAGTCAATTTATTTTTCTTATTTTTTGCTGTTGTCTCACTATTGCTTTTTTTTTTTCAAATAGTTTGTTTTATTTTTTCCAATTACAGTTTAAGAGTCAAGGGTTACAGACCTTCTTTGTCTAGTCTATCAATATAGATCATTTCTTAGTGAAGATGCTGGTTCCTGATCATGGAGAGAAAAAAAAACAACAATCTCCTAACGATTTCATTCATTTTGCATTTTTACTTTTTTTAGTGAGCATAATTAAGATATGCTTTAAAATAATAATAATAACCATGTAAGAAATTATAATTGTATACGATTAATTATTTGGTAGATAACTGAGTGGGTTGCTCAACCCAATGATGGATTGACCTGTAAAGAGCTTGGTAATTTTAGTTTACCCATAATGTACAATGAGAACATAAACTTCATTGATTGCCTTACTATGTACTAGGTATTGCAAGTACTTACATGTATTAATTCATTTAATACTTGCAATGCTCTGAAACAAGACTGCCTGAATTTAAGTCTTGTCTTCCCTACTTACTGTTTATCCTGTGCTTTGATGTCTATGACTGTAAAATGAAGATAATACCTATCACATAGGATTTAATGAAACAATAATATTTAATGTGCTTTTTGTACAATGACTCACTGAAATATGAGTGTGAAAATGTGATCTCCTTATAGCTTGCAAGCTTATTACAAAAGATTATTTATGGATAGTAGTGAGAGGGCGTTTCAAACAAACATCTGAAATTCCAAACATAAATGGGGTTGAACTTCAGAATGGTCATTGTAAGAAAACATACATTTATTTCAATAATATTGTCATTTTTCAAAGCATTCATAGTTTTTTAATATATTGTGATTGAATTCACAGTTAGGAGGCGTTTTCCTCTAGAGGGAATAACTATATTCCATTGTTACATCATTTTTTTCACTAAAAATAAAAATGTACTCCTTGCTGGATTACCTACATTATTTTTCAAAGTTGTCTCTGATATTTTTTTATAATTTGTAAGTTGTTTTCAGAGATACACTAGAATTAAAGAATGAATTGTTTTTGAAAACATTAACTGTATAAATGATTTTTGTATTTGCTGATTCCAGATAATCCTTAAAGGTAGATGTAAAGTGGGCCATTAGTTTGTTTTAATGTATTTGTGGTATTTTAAATAGAAATTTTGAAATGTTATAAAAACCTTCTATTTTCTCAATTTAAATTCCTTTTAGTTTTCTAAAGCTCTTATGCTTTAGTCTTTATTTGGTACATGTAATAGCTCTGTATGGGGAAATAAGGTTTATTTTTATAATAATGTTTTATTTATATAATAATAATCTTTAGATATATACTTCTTTGTATCAGAGGGTATTATACTATTCTCAGTTTTCTTTATAGTTTTCGTACTAGCAAAGGAGTTGGCTACTCTGCCCATTTTGTTGGCAACTGTCTTATAGTCACATCACTGAAGTCCAAAGGAAAAGGTTTTCAGCACTGTGTGAAATACGATTTTCAACCACGCAAGGTAGGTGTAAGTAAATATTTCTATTGAGAATGACATAATTCACCATCCCCACTGTCCTAATACCTATTATGACTTCTGTAATAGTCTCTCATTGGTTTTCTTATGACACCTAATGCTTTTCTCTGATTCTTATCTGCATCTTCTTTCTCTTTTACATCTAACTTTTGACATAAAAAGATCAGGCTCTTGACCTCTTGCAGTGTCTCTCTCTCTTTATCTCTCTCTCTCTCTCTCTCTCTCTCTCTCTCTCTCTCTTTCTCTTTCTCTCTCTCTCTCTCTCTTTCTTTCTCTCTCTCAGTATGATATATTCTGTGGCATTCTTTTAGTAAATGCTTACAGTAAGGAGTTCTCTTGATCTACAGTTTCTCCTTCTGAGCTTTCAATTACCTGCAGTTAACTGTGGTCTTAAAATACTAAATGGAAAATTCCAGAAATCCGTATATTTTAAACTGTGCACTATTCTGAGCAGTGTGATCAAATCTTGAGTCTTCCTGCTCCATCCCACCAGGGAGGAGAATTATCCCTTTGTCCAGGGTATCTGTGCTGTATAGGCTACCCCCACTTTAGTCACTTGGTAGCCATCTTGGTCATTGGTTATCTTATTGATTATGAGAGAGAGAGAGAGAAGGGGAAGGGGAATGGACAGGGGGAAGGGAGAAGGGGAAAGAAGAGAGGGAGAAAGACAAAGACCACATTCCCCCAAATTTATTAGAATATATTATAATTCTATTTTATTATTAGTTATTGTTAATCTCTTACTGTGCCTAATTTATAATTTAAATTTTATCATAGATATATATGTATAGGTAAAAACGTGGATAGGACAAAACATAGTATGTATAGTTTGGTACTATCCGAGGTTTCAGGCATTTACTGGGGTCTTGGAACATATCCCTCTCGAATAAGGGAGGATGACTGTATGATGTATTTACTGTGTACCAGACACTGTTGTGGACACTGGGATATGACACTAAATAAAACAGATATCTGTGCTTTTGTGGAACTTTTGTTTTAGTAATTTTTATTCATTTTCACCATAGTGTTCCACTCTTATTATCTCCAGAGCTTTTATTCTTATTTTCCATCTACCTATGATATATTGCTATGTGGATGTTTTTTTGGTCAGTCAACCCCAGAATATGTAACATTGAATTTACCACTTCCAGTCCCATATACATTCCTGTTCTTAAACCCCCTGTTTTGATTAAGAGACCTCCACTTCATAATAGTGGAGACTTAAGTCAGCTTTTTTCTTTTCCTTTTTTCTATTAAACCCTTAAAGTTTTATTTATTTTTTTGGAGTTTATATATCTCTCTCTATTTTTTAGTTTCAGGTGTGCAAAACAACGATTAGACATTTACACCCCTCACAAAGTGATAACTCCCCTGCCCAATCTACTACCTCTCCGACATCTTATATAGCTGTTATAATTCCATTGACCCTATTCCCTATTCTGTACTCCACATCCCGTTTGTTCTTCACCCCGCTTTTTTAAATTATTTTTTTTATTTTTGTTTTTATTTTTTTTTTAAGCTGAGCCATCCTGCCACCTGTTGGCAGCTCAGCGGCTGCTCAGCTCGGGCCGGGAATCGAACCGCTGTTGCTCAGAGTTCAACTCTTGAGCGAGCTCTTAACCAACTGAGCCACTCGGCCGGCCCTTCTTCCCCTTTTTGATCTTTATATCAGTTCAATTTTCATATCATAAACTTTGTATCTCTGTTATATATCTTTTTTAAAAATTATTTGCTTGCTACTTAAATTTTTCATTTTGCTCTCCCCTTACCCTGGAACTTTTGTCTCTTCCTCTTATAAACTGTTTTACACACTAATATATGATTTATATTCCTGCTCATATTATTTCACTGTTCAAGTCAACAAGCCAGTCATTTGCATCTTACTAACTACAGAATAAAATTTTAAGCTTAGTTTTTCATGATTTGGATTTTATTTTCAGCGTTTTACTTATACCCTTTATTCTTTTTTTTTTTTAAGATTTTTATTGGGGAATTGGGGGAACAGACAAGTTGCTGTCATTTTGTTCTTCAGTCTAGTTGTGGAGGACGTTGCTTCACTGGCCCAAGTTGGCACCATCATTGCGCTCTTGCTGGATGGCCACTCATGGCGGCTGCTGGCCACTCATGCTGGTTGCTGGCTACACACGGTAGCCCATGGCAACCCACTGCAGCACTGGCTGCAGCCTACGCCATCGCCGGCGACTCACGGCAGCCCAGCTCCAGGTTGAGCTGTTGTTCAGCATCTTAGCTGTAAAGGGCAGTGTCACTGGCCCTCATATGTGGGATCCGAACCGGGGCCCTCTGGCGTCCCAAGCCAGCTCTTAGCCATCGTGCCACTCGTCCGGCCCATACCCTTTATTCTTTTACCCTTTATTGAAACATTATTTCAATATTTTTTGTGGTAATTATTTCTTTTAAATTCTTATTTGTTTATATGTTCACTTTTATTAACTAATGAGACTAAGATAATTGTTGGATTTATTTTTGTATTCCTTCATATGCCTACCAGAGGGTATTGAACTTAGTAGGCTATCAATAATATATACTGGATAAATGAATAAAATATGACTTTAACAATCAAAACAACCCTTTGGTTTCCTAAAGGAATAAATTACATTTATCTGTACAGCTCATTTATACTTAGCAATTGATTTCCCAGTAGTATGAAATAAATGAGGTATTATTATTGACAAAGTGGGGCAGAAGGTGTGGGCCTTGTTGTGGTCAGTGCATCATTGTAGGTAAGTATGCCCGGAACCTTTTCTGTGTGGCAGTGAGAAGAAAGATAGTCATGGCAGTAAAGACCAACTATTTTAGGTTGTTGCTGTGATGCACATTTAAAATCTAAAGCTTACTAACCTTTTTTGCTGCAAGGCAAACCCTCATATGAACTTCTGTACTTTAATTATAGTTCTGAGGAATTATGTTTGAAGAACACTTGCAGAAATCTTACTTTAATTACAATCCTATCGTCTTCCCCTTTCCTTCCTTTTCCTCCTCGTCTATATTTCTCTCCTCCCTCTCCTACCTACTTGTTCTTTTTTGCTCATTCTTTTCATCTTCCCCTTTTTTCCCCTTCTCCATCTTCCCCCTTTTCTTGTTCTTTCCCCTTCTTCCTCTAACCTTATTCGGTTTAGGTAGTAGAACCAGTTTTCAGACTGGAGGTTCAGACTTCAGAGCAGTTTGGTTGTGTATGTGTGTGTATGTTGTGCACTATGGATTTATAGGTAATAAGCTCTTTTTATATGACAAAAATTAAACCTCCAGAGTTGGTAATACACAGAGACTTTTCTTGAGGGAGATTCAGTCAATCCTAGTAGTCCTGAATCTTTTTTCCTGAGATTGAAGGTTTCAATAATTTCTGTTCATCAATAAAGATGGCTTCAAGGAGAGGGATGTTGCTCTCTTGTTAATGTTTTGGCCATGAAATATGCCTTTGCTTAATATCCACTGGAATATGGCTATTCAGAGAACAGGCTGAAACATATTTTTAAAAGGCTGCTCTAAAGATAAAGAATAACGAGAAAATGCAGAGAAATGGGCAAATATATAATTAGACTTATAAGATATAATTCACTCATCATCAGCTGGGCTTTTATAGAGGAATGTTCCTGCCTATTTCCTGGACTCCGTCTTTGTGTCAGAGTAACCAAACACTTGAAAGTTCAGAATAAAAAAAAAACAACCAAAACCAAACAAACAAACAAACAAGACAAGGGTCAGAGGTATAGGAATGCCATTCCCACATGTCTAAGGCCTGGTCTACCTTCCAGGTTCAAGGGTGTTTCTTGGATATGTCACAGTGAGATTGTCCAAGGGAGGGGTCAGCAAACTTTTGAGACCGGAGAGCCTCCAGGGGTCAGCAAACTGCAGCTTGCGAGCCGCAGGCTCTGAAGTAAAATTGAAAATGAAAATAAAACTATCATAGTTTCACTTATAAATTTTTAAAGGATATTATTCACATAATGGTGATTATGTAAATATATATTTATGGCTCTTGAATAATTTTTAAATTGTTGTGAGGGACAGGATTGGCTCTTCCAGGGGTTGGCAAACTTTTGAGATGGAATGTACTCAAAGGGCCGCATGTGGCTTGCAAGCTGCAGTTTGCGGACCTCCTGGTCCAGGGCATCCACTACCTCTTATCTATAGGAATATTTATTCATAAGAACAAGCATACCTATGGTTGTTCCACATACAGTGGAGGGAATGCCTTCATTTCTTTTTCTTTCATTTTTGTTTTCTTGTTTGTTTATGATCCCATATACGTTTTGTCACATACTGAAGAAAATATTATTTTGGATGGATTTTCAAACACACACACACACACACACACACACACACACACACACACACATACACTTACGCTTTAAATGAATCTAATAAAAATCTTTGCTTTATGGTTATGGGATAGTAATAATTGATTCTATTAAAGATATCAATTTAACAATCATTAATATTGGAAAATAGCTTAAAAAGCAATGATTCTAAATAAATTTATACATTAGAATGGGTGTTATTTTTTTCTTCATACAAATTCCAGTTCTTTTCATACAAATTCCATGGGAATTCCATTGTTTTTCTGCCAGAAATTCTAATTTATTAAATTTGGGATGACACCCAGGCAGTTTGCCAAATGTATCAAATTATTTTGAATTTCATGCAACTTGTTAAAAATGCAGATTTTTGGAATTATAATTTTCATGTTAGGAGTATGTGTTTTAAACAAATGCTCTAGGTGATTTTTCTCATCAGACAAGTTTAGAAAACAGTGGTTTAAAGAGTACTTGTATATAAGAAAAATTAGAGTGAAGTTAAAACCAAATAATATTGTCATTAACCAAAAGCAATATAACCCATTTGTGTATTTCTTTCTCTCTCTCTGCCTCTCTTCCTCTCTCCCTCTCTCCCTGTCTCCCTGTGTCCCTCTCTCCCTCCCTCCCTCCCTCCCTCCCTCCCTCCCTCCCTACCTACCCTCCCTCTCCCTTTCCCTTTCCCTCTCCCTCTCCTCTCTCTCTCTCTCTTCCCCCCTCTCCCCTTTTCTCCCTGTCCCCCTCTCCCTCTTTCCCTCTCTCCCTCTTTCCATCTCCCCCTCTCCTGCTCTCTGCCTCCCTCCCTCCCTCCTGTTTTTATGCTATTTACCTATGAGAAATAGTTTCTGATTTGTAAAAGTTCTATGTATTCTAAGAGATCTTGTAGGAGTATGGCCAGGAGTGATTTGAGTTTTAAAAAGTCTTCTATAAAGATTCTCATAAGCTTTGAAAATTCTAAGTGTTTGATTTTACTGTTTACTTGTTCGAGATAAATTCATTCTCTTATTTTTTTTTTTATTTCTTTAGTTTTCCCAAAGATGCCCTAGCTTAGATATTATCCCTTCTAATAAGGGGTTTAACTAACCTTTCAGAAAGAAATCTTTATATTACAACTATCACTTCCCTTGCTGTTCCACTTACCAGATGTTTGACCTTATAAATACAGATGTAAACCATTAGCATATTACCTAATATGTAGTAAGTGCTTAATACATGTTAGCTACTATTGATAATTTTTATAAATGTATTTTTCTTATGGATTCCTAATACAGGTCTTTTTTTGTTTTTGTTGTATTTCCTATTGGTATCCTTCTTTTATAGATCTATTTTTGGTTCTCAAACTAAATGCAGACCTCAGTATACATACATAGATACTATCAGTATGTATACATAGTTTCCAAGTTTACTCCCATTTCTTTTAGTCAAAAAATATTATGTCAAAAGTTGGGCTCTTGATTGAAAAAGTCACTTGTCTATTACCTGTAGAGTATAAAGGTTGAGGTAACAAAAACAGAGAAAAGAGAAGTTACTTTTTCTGCAAGTTCTATGACCTTCACTGAGATCACTTCATTCAACTATGCATTCATTTATTCATTTATTTAATTTCATCATATATTTATATATTTAACATATATCATACTCATTTATTTAATTTTATCATATATTAGTGTTATGACCACAACCAAACTTTATTAGTTTGCAACTCCAAACCTGTTTATCTGGCTAATTAATTAACTGGAAATATTGGAACCATCTTAGACTCCCTTTTTCAATATTAGTACTTGCAGCCAGTTCTGTTAAGTACCCATTTCCCTCCTTTCAAGTTACCAGTGCCTCTTCTTAGCTTGAGTTCTTTTGATTTTCTTACCATTGCAGTAGTTTTCAAGTTTATCTTTATCCATATATGCCCAACTATCCCATTTCCTCACTCTTGTTTGTTATTTTCCTGAACTATGGAGACGATCATTTCGTATCCTGATGAAAATTCTTTAGTAATGTGACATTATGCAAAAAAACAAAAGCTGATTACTGAAGTCCAACAGTCCTCTTTACAACCTGGTCTTTGTCTGTTTTTTCTGCATAAACCTAAATACTGGGAAAAGTTTTGTTAACCCTCTGTGATGTGTGTACCATATTCAGATACCTCTGCTTGGATGGGTTCTTTCCCCTGTTTACTCAACAATTCATATTCATCCTTCAAGCTTAGTCTTAAGTTGCCTTTTACTTTTTGAGTGAATTCTTCTGTTAACCTTCCTTCTCTGTTTGTCTTTCCTTTCCCCCCTAATTTCAATTTGTCATTACTTCTTTTGCTCCCCATCTGTAGTTTAGCTATTCTCCATTGTTTTATAATAGTTTTCATGTTTATTTCTCTAGTGAGACCTCCTTGAGGCTGTGTATGGTATCTGTAGGCTCTCAGTAAATTTTTTGAATGAATGAATGAATGACTCTGAGGAGTAAATGTTAATTTTAGCAGAAAAAACAACTCATCATAAAAAAATAGTAGATATGAAATAAACAGAAGTTTTGTCAATGGAATCTGATTTATGTGTACCAAATATGTACTAGTAACTGCCAATATGTACTAGTAACTGTTCTTCATAGTTTTCATACATTGTCTATTACATATAATATTCACAATCATTCCACAAAATAGGCATTATTATTTCCCCTTTATTACAGGTGGAAATAGGTTCAGAAGATTAAATAATTTGCCAGAAATCATAGAGCTAGTGACTTGGGAACTCAAGTTATGTCCAAATGAGTTTAAAGTTCATTCTGCCCAGAACACTAAATTATCTGGTCATAGTAGTAAGAACTCAATACATATTTGTTGAGTGAGTGCTTTTCTAAATGAGGTATGTCAGTAAGTATAATAATGCATCTAATATTATTTATCTTAAAAATGTCTTTGGCAGAAGAAGATCCTTTTAATTTAAAAACATTTATGTCTATTGTATTTATAAATTTAAAATTTCTAAAAATTTTACTCAAAAGTATAAAGAGTGTATCTCCTGTGTTACCTAGATGGCATTCTGGTTGAAAAAATTAAACTCAATGAAGGTAACATAGTTTTGATTCTTATATGAGTATTTGTAAACTTCTGTAATATTTTTAATAATTTAGTTCATGCTCAACTTTTATGGCATCTTGATAATTTTGTAATATATAGAATCATAAGATGTTAAATGACTAACTTTAAAGATTTTCTTCTTCTGATTTTAATTAGGACTAACATATATGTTGCTTTCTGATCAAGTGAAAGACTTGGCTTGCAAAAAATTAGAATTAAATATTACCTGGAATGAAACAACTTAAAAAAAAGACATTTGTTTTAGAAGTTAAATAGTTTGACCTGACATTTTTATTTTTATAATTGAGAAACAATGTTAAATATTACCGTTTTCTATGAGTTGTTCAGTTTTATAAATCAAAATACATGAAATTGAATTTTGTTCGAAGTATTTCAGACACCTTGAAATAACTTAACATTTTAGTGGTTGAGAATTCCTATTAATGATGTATACTTCACAAATATATATGAAATAATTGAATAGTGCTTATAAGTAATCTGGAGAACAAAATTTGTTATTTTATGTTTTTTTGGGGGGAAACTAGTCTAATTTCCCCGACCCTTAACTGCTGAATATACTTGTTCAATTATCTATAAATCATTTGTATTTTTTTATATTTTAGAAAAACTATTTCTATATTATCTGCTTTAGGCTATTAACTTCAAAGAGGACTAAGGTTTGGATCCACAAATTGTTACAGAACTTAATCCATCCCATATCAAGATAAACACTAAAAATGCTTTTTGTTGACTCGAGTAACCATAACATGAGAACTCAATATAAACATTTCTTCATTATTAATTACACATTATTAAATTAACATATATAATTATTCTTGGATATAATAAGTCTAAATTGTGGAAGTGAAGCCACCTAAATCTTATTATAAATATTAAAATGTTGTTTCTTTGACAGATCTTTCCTGACCACGCAATCAAAAGTAGAATGTCTGTTATTCTTTCTCATGTACACCCTTCTTTTTTCCTCGCAGTAATCATCCTGATTTGTAATTCTATATTTGTTTACTTGTCTAATGTATATGTTTCATTACACCATAAATTTCAAGAGAGCCGGCTTGATAGTCAGTTTTGTCAAACCTAGATATTTGCAAGTGCCTGGCACAGTGTAAATGTTATTAAATGCACGAACACAAATATAATGTTATAAAATGAATGAACGCATTTCTACAATTTTTGGATATTGGTTTAGTGGAAAGAGTACCAGGATTCCAAGGGTTCTAGCTCTGTCTCTCACAAATTTAATCTTTATGAGTGACTCCTTTCAACTGCAAAATGAGAAATGGAAGCGGGAACTTGAAATGGTAGTGGATGACTGTTAATATTTCTTCAAGCATTTTTATAGTATGTTATGAATATTATGATTGCTTATTATACAATAAAAACTAAGCATTATATATTCATTGCTCTAATTTTTTTTTTCATTTAAGTGGTACATGATCAGCATTGTCCACATTTATAATCGATGGAGGAACAGTGAAATTCGGTGTTATGTTAATGGACAGCTCGTATCCTATGGTGATATGGCTTGGCACGTTAACACAAATGATGTAAGTTTGTTTGTTTTTAATCTGTGTTTTAATGTATTTGAGTATATAATATATATTACGTTTATAACATGAATTGAATAATAAAACAGCTCGGTAGAAACAATAGATTTTGAAAATTTCTATTAAGTGAATTTTTAAGTCTTAAATTTAATATAATTAAATTGCTAAAAGACATGATAGCGGTAGAAAAAAGGAAAATTATTTGGTTAACTTATTAAGTATTAGATCAAAGACATCAATGCAGAATTCTATTCTTTCCATAATCTCAAGCATTTAAAAATGTATATTTCCCTTATTTGGATGTGAAAGGAAGACCTTAAATAGAATAAGTGTCACATGTAGTCGCTATTATTTATTAGATAACTGGTGATAAATGCTATGGAGAAAAATGAAGTGGGAGCAGGTATAGAAAGTATAGGTGTAGAGAAGGGAGAAGCCACATACTGTAGAGATGATCTTAGTGAGAAGAGTTGAGGGAGAAAGCCATGAGGATATCTGGGGAAATATCCCATTCAGTGGCAACAGTAAGTGCAAAGGCTTTGAGGAAAAACTGCAAAGTTCCTTGAACAACAAAGCAACCAGTTTGTCGGGAGCAGAGGGAGGAAAAATAATGTTAAGAGATGAGGTTAGGCAGATAGTAGTCGGGCAAATCATGCAGGGACTCATGTGCAAACATAATGCCAGGACCTTTCCATCTTACCCAGCGTAACAATATTTGGAAGGGTTTGAGCAGACAAGTGATGTGATGCTGACACATGTTCTAGAAACATCAATCAGGGTGCAGTATTGAGAGTATTCTGAAGGGAAACAATGACAGAAGCAGGGAGATCCCTTAAATGACTTATTGCGATAACAAAGAGATAACACTATTTTCCACCAGCATGTTAGCAAGTGGAGGAGGTAACACCATTGGATTCTTGATAGGGGATATCTAGATTTAAAACCTCAAGAGCTCTTATTTCTCTATTTTAGGCCTTGTCTTGTTCCCATCCTGGCCTTTTAGAGCTAAAGCAAAAGATGTAGTCTAATGCTAAAAGTATAATTCCAGCATACTTGGTTCTATGAAAACCACATTTTAAAACAAAATTCACATCTCAGTATTGTCTGCCTCTCTGTAGATTTGAATCCTTTGAGGTGCAGGGATTGGCTCTTGTTCTGTATTGCATTCTCTTCAGTAACACTGTATGCATAGTCTGGAGTTTGTTCCCTCTGTCAGGGGTTAGAAGACTACACCCTACAGGTCAAGTCTAACCCTTAACCTGTTTTTGTACAACTTAGGAACTACAAATCTTGATTTTTACATTTTTAAAGGTATTTCTTTTAAAGACCCAAACAACAACAGCAAAATCATAGATGATTATGTGACAGAATCGAGAAGTGACTTGCAAAATTTTAAATATTTACTATTTGTTCCTTTATAGCGAAAGTTTGCATTTTCTGCCCTAGAAACTCATAGTTGGGCCATATTCAATAAATATTTATAAGAACGATTTTGTCAGAATAGAATACGCAGATAAAATGCTTCTTCAAATTCTTCTTTAAAATATCTGCCTTTCCAAGGAGACAACCATTTTATTATCGAGTGGAAGAAACCCTGTTTATCTTGTTGACTGTCATTAACTCTACAGTTATATTTTTAAAAGAAGGAAGAAACTCTTTGACTTGAATTATTTGCTATAGTGCTCCAAAAATACATACGTACATTATACAGTCAATTCTTAAGTTCTTATAGTTTTAATTAAGGACTGAGTGGCTGCTTAGTGCTGAGCTCTGCAGATAGAGAGCATTGTACTATATTTTTTAGGCAGCAGACTTTCATGATCTTTGTTTATTTGGTTCTGTATAATGCCTACTCACTTAAGAGAGGGAAGTGATTTATTTGTGTCCTTGACTTGGTGTGGAGAAATAGAAAAATATACCCACAGTGGAGAGATTAGGCCGAATATTAAAAATTAGGCCCTATGTGTTTTTGATTAAAATTTAGAATAGTTCTCTGATTGAAATGAATCTCTTTCTAGAGGGACAATTATAAATCATTAGTTCTAAAATTAGTTTTACTATTGTAAATAAATAATTATAAGCCCTTTTGCCTTTAACTATAAAATTTGGAAGTGGTCAAGGGATTATTGAGTAAATGGTTATTGTTGGTTTTTTTTTTTGCCATAATATAAAACATTTAACTGATTTATTTCTCCTAAAAATCTCCAGTTGGCTTTTATTACTTAAATAGTCTATAAATTCTTAATTGATAGATTCTTTTGTTATTGTTATGCTTTAAGGTAATCAAGACAATGAAAGCAGAAATCTTGAAATATTTTGTCATTACAAAATAATACATTTGCTTTTATTATGACTTTAAAAACAGAGCTATGACAAGTGCTTTCTTGGATCTTCCGAAACTGCTGATGCAAATAGGGTTTTCTGTGGTCAGCTTGGTGCCGTGTATGTATTCAGTGAAGCACTCAACCCTGCACAGATATTTGCAATTCATCAGTTAGGACCTGGATATAAGGTAGTGAGAATTATCTTATTATAAATTCTATGAAAGTTTTATGTAAATTCTAAGTAAGCTGTGATATAATATGATATATAATGAGTCTTCAGTGTGGTTAAAACTCATCTCTGTTTTTTGGAATTCAGCTGTTTTTATGTTTATTTTGTTTCAAAGGTGCTTGGTCTCTTTTTAACTATTACCCTTTCATGAACTTTTAAAATTCTTTAGCACAGCGGTTCTCAACCTTCCTAATGCCGCGACCCCTTAATACAGTTCCTCATGTTGTGGTGACCCCCAACCATAAAATTATTTTCGTTGCTACTCTATAACTGTAATTTTGCTACTGTTATGAATCGTAATGTAAATATCTTTTTGTTTTCCGATGGTCTTAGGCGACCTCTGTGAAAGGGTTGTTTGACCCCCAAAGGGGTCGCGACCCACAGGTTGAGAACCGCTGCTTAGCATGTTTTCTATTGTTGAAGCCATGGCGTTTGTTGATATAATTTTGAAATAATATATTTTATAAAGCCATGTTGCTTAATGTGGTATTTGAAATCTCAGATTTTAAAATTATATTCTGAACAAATCAAATAACTGTTAGTTTTCAAATTAGAGGCAACTTGGAAAGAATAAATATTTAGAAGAAAAATAGTATAAAATATTACATATGCCTGACGTTATTCAGTTTTAGCTTCTACTTTTGCTTGCCCTTTGCAATAGATGAAGAAGTGGGTACAGTACTGAATATCCTAATTTTGCAAAACCAGTTATCTAATATGATTTTTCATATCCTTCCTGCTTTTTAACTTTTTAAATGAAGACTTATTTGGGCAAGATATTGCATTAACATACATGAATTAGTTTTTCATGTGCAGTACACCTGGCTAGGGAAATAAGAAAGTCTGACAGTTAACATTTGCGAGCTTTCCACTGTGTAAGTGCACAGTAGAAAGTTCGCAAACTTAATTGTCTGACCTTTGGTATGTGAGTTTTATTAAAGTCACTTTGGGAGTAGTGACATCCCCAACTGTTTGGAAATGAGAAAGAATTATACAGTGTATGTTAAAGTGTTCGTAATTCTGAAGAAGTACATGTTTTGCATGGAAGAGCTGATTTTTTTTTTAAACCTGGTATTTAAATAATTAGTGTGAAGATTGTGTTACAGAAAAGGATTACTAAACATTAAACTATTTCTTCTTTTGCCTTTGAATTTTTGCATTAATATTTCTGTTTTTATTTTATGGTCCATGTTGGACATATAAATTACAGTTTCAATTTACCCTTATGAACAGATATTCCTGTTTTCAGTGATTTTAGTAACATAATGTTGAATGACAATAATGCTGTCATTTTTATGTCTAGATACAATATTTACTAACCTTTTTCCATATCATTTTATTTGTTTTAGTATTCTGAGGATTAAATTTGTACTTGGACAGTTTTTTTCTTTCATGGGTTCTTTTGCTAGGTGTGAGTCCTGGTTGTGCCATGTGTTAGCTTCGCATCAGAATGTTTCTGTAATTCAGATTTGGGGGCGCTCTGCAGCCTGCCTTCCTTGCCTGCTTCTTTGCCTTGTTCCATAGAATTTTTGAAGCGGCTTTCCTCAAGCGCTAACAGAATGATATTGAGTAGAGTGACAACCAAATCAGTAAAAAATAAATAAAGGTAGAAAATGAAATAAATACATATATGAAAACCATAAATCCAACTATGATTGCTATAGTGAAAATTCAGAATTGATGGGAGTTTCCTGGCAGCATAAAGGAAAAGAGAGTAAATGTAAACAGTTACGTAATTGTCCCATTTAGAAAGGTACAGACAGTGTCATATGGCTCTTTCTTATCACATTCTTTTATACCCACAGTGAAAATGAGTACTAAGCCTATGCCACTATGTTCTATACATGAATGCTCATGGGATACAGAATGTATGCCTATCACCCTAACATAGATAATGGAGTACATATAGCAAAGTCAGAACTTTTCAGAGAAAATGCCTCGAAGTTTTGAGCACCACATGAAAAACTATTAAGTTCTGAAAGTCCCCAGCCTTTCAGAGGTCCTTTGTTAATGGAAGCTGCTGTAAATCTATGGGCGCATATGAATTTTCTCAATTTATAAAATACTAAAAGTATAAATACTATCAGGAAAGATATCTGCAAAGGTTTTTGACATTAAAAAGCTTCTCTAGAAATTCAGAGAATGAAGAGGAGGAGGAAATGATGCAAATGAAGATCAGACTGTGTTGCGACAGGGAAACAAGCTAAGTGGTTCACACACCGTAGTCTCAGTTTTCTTGGTGAAGTAGGAGGCACACTCACTTCCTGGGTGAAGAGGTACAGGGTTGCTGTGGAAATTTTAAGGTGTGTAGGATATAATAATAGTTGACATTTGATTTAAATCACATATTAAGCTTAAATTATTAATTGTGTAATGAAAAAAATGGTTATTTGTTATATGGAGGGTTCTGTACTTGTAATGGTCAAAGAGTGTTCTCTGAGCTTAATGTACACAGCATGTCAACATCTGGGAAGTGAAGTAAATAAAATAAATTAAATCTCTACCTTTCACCCCCAGTCATCCAACTGTATATACTGTGGAGCCTGTTTCAAGTGATTTTTGACCTGTTGGTCTTTGCAGTGCTTAGGTTATTTCCTTTCTGTGGAATGCCTAGTTTTGAGCAAGGCAGCTGATCAGTGAATATTTTGTACCTGGTCATTTTCAGTTAACAGTAAATAAAGAACGGTATCATTAATCAATTAAACAGGTTATTAGGTTTGAAAGTAATGTGTAAAATCCAGAATTTCTCACTGTAACTTTGTCTAGTTTAGAATTTACTGTGAGTTAATTTTATTGTAGCGCTCCATTTGATTGTGGTTATGCAATGTCCACAAGTTTCTGGATTCTTATATATATAAGGTGTCCATTTGATATAGTTGGCAAAAGAGATTTTCACAAAGTTTTGATATTTTATAATTGTTATTGGAAATTTCCTAATTCCCTAATTGTTATATATCCTCATGTGGCAAGTAGTTAGTCTCCTCTGGTCATTATTTTAATCTTTAGCGTTGTGTTCTTTCCTCTGTTCAAGAAAATGATAGCATAATGATTTTTTTATCAGTTTATTATATTATGACAAAGGCCTAACTGTTAAGAGAACATGTATAAAACAATCCCCAACATTAAAAATTACTTTGTAGGGTTTCCAGTACTTATTGGAAGGGTGAGCTCCTAACAAAGTGATCTTCCCACAAAATAACCACTTAAGACTCTGGACATAATATAGAAAATATCTATCTGAGGGCTCTGGAGACTGAAAAAATCAGGTAGGTTTTAGAGGGGTGTCAAAATATGGAACATATTGCCAGCATGGGTTGAGTTCCCCATTTTTGACTCAGAAAAAAACGCTCTGGCCATAAATATCGGTAAAAAGCACTTAGGCGACCAACACCACATGGAAGTGAATGGGCAACCCCAGAAAAGAGACAGCCAGTAAAGGATCTAAATTTTATATTTCAAAAATGTAAACCTAAATCTCTGGCTGATCCCTGAAACTATGTATGATCATGACAAACTGACAATAGATTATAAATAAGCCTTCAAGAGCTGAACAGCACATCTAAGACACCACACATAAGAGGTATGGTGGTCTATAATTGTATCTACAAAGAAAATGACCCTCCAAGACAAAAACATCAGTACTTTCAGAACAATATAACCTCCACAGAAGAATATTCACAATGTTCAGCATATAATCCAAAATTACTCATACTATGAAGAACTGGGAAAATGTGACTTATTCTCAGTGAAAGAGAAAATCGGCATATAACAACTCCAAGATAGCCCCGAATCATGGAATTATTACGCAAGAACTTTTAGGGAGCTATTATAACTAGTGAGACTAAGAAAAAAAGTGATTGTAATGAATCAAAGGAAGGGAATTGGCCACAATATTTTAAAAAATCAAATGGAAATTTTAGAACTGAAACATATATCTGAAGTAAGAAACATCTATTGTATGGGCATATTAGCAGAATGGCTATCATAGAGAAATTAATGAACTTGGATATAAATGGACAGAAACATGAGAAGAGAGATAGAAAAGATTAGAGGAAAAAGAACCAAACCACAGTGATATACTGGCAATTTTGAAATCTAATATGCAAAGAATAATAGAAAGGGTCAGAAAAAAATATTGGAAGAAATAATGGTAGACACTCCCCAAATTCATAAAAATTGCATTTATAGATTGAAGGAACTTCAAAGTAAATTCAAAGAGAACCACAGTAGGCATATTATGGTAAAAATGCATAAAACCAAAGGAAGGAGAAAACCTTGAAGCAAAACTGGATATAAATAAAAGAAAGAATGATTTGAATAACTGCACAGTTTCATCAGAAATCAAGAAAGCCATAGAGCTGGAGCAAAAGCTGTCAACTCAGAATTCTTCATCTAGTGAAAATATTCCGTAAGTCTTATAAAGACAATTAAGACAATTTGTTGGCACCAGATAGATGTACTGTAGACTGAAGAAAGAAACTTGGATCATTGGGAATAAACGAAGAACATTAGGAATGATAAATATATGAGTAAAATAAAATATGTGTTCTAGATCACTCTGGCTGCTTTGTTAAATAGGGGACCAAGGTGGAAATAGGAGACAGGTTAGGAGGCTACTGCGGTTATTCAAGTTTAGGATGGTGGTAATTTCAACAAGGCTGATAACAGTGGAAAATAATGAGACTTGATTGGACTTTTGATAAAGCATACTAAAAATAAAACTCTTTAATTTAAGAGGTCAGCTTCTGGATATATTTTGGATGATTTTCCAGTAGGATTTTACGTCTTTGCGAATGTGGGGTAAATGATTAAGAGAGGATTCAAAGGTGACCCAATTTATTTTAACCTGAAGTCCTGAATTGATGAACTTGTCATTTACTGATGTAGCCATTTGTCAGTAAACTTGTTATTGACTGATGTACTTGGAAGGACTACGTTTTGGCCAAGAGTTTGGCTTTG